TGACTTTCTTAGATAAAAACAAAGTATACCACATATATGCATGTGCCATTGTGCCCCCTTAGTTCAGTCACAGTAGGTCTGTGAATAACTCCCTATGCACAGGATCTCTTTTTGCCCTTTTTGGTTACTAATGGGCCTAATTCCAATGAAAATATATCTGTAGAACTGGAGTCAACTCATGGGAACCAATGCTAAAGTCTACCTGAAGTCTGATCCTGTGCCAAAGAGCCGTATGCCAAAATCTTAAGCCACACAAGTAGAGAAGAAGTGTATGGATGTGTAAATCTGTGTAAGATCCCTGGAAAGGGATCACAAAATCTGCTTCTGTAACTTAATTTCAAGGACTAAAAAGTGTCAGAACTAATAAAAATATTTTTGCTCATGTTATTACAGTAGTAGTAATGAGACGTCCTGTTCCAGGGCATAGTCTGAATAAATGGATGCAGAAAGGAACTTTTCCTCTTTATATTCCAAAATTGTAGAGATGAATCTGTGGAAAGCTCCACATACCTTTGAACCATCTCACTGGAATGAGACAGTGGAGTTGGTGAATCACATATCAGCTCTGTTATGGGAAATCCTATGTTTCTGTGTAAAAACACAAACTCCCAAGAAGTTGCTTGTGTGGCTTATACTTAAGGTTGGTCCTACACATCTGGTTCTGAGAGAAAGACATTATCAGTTCCCTCAAAAACAAAAATACTGATATTAAAATAAACATTTATAATGGAAACAAACTATTTAAAGTGCCAGAATAAAATCACAGAATCATAGAATGATTTAGGTTGGAAGAGACCTTAAAGATCATCTCATTCCAATGCCCCTGCCATGGGCAGGGACACCTTTCACCAGACCAGGTTGCTCAGAGTTCCATCCAACCTGGCCTTAAACATTTCCAGGGATGGGATGTCAACAACTTCTCTGAACAACCTGTTTCAGTGCCTCACTACCCTCACAGGAAAGAACTTTTTCCTAAAACTTAATCGAAACCTGTCCTCCTTCAGCTTAAGGTCATTTTACCTTGTCATATCATTACACGCCCTTATAAAAAGTCCCTCTCCAGCCCTCTTGTATGCCCCTTCTAGGTACTGAAAGGCCACAGTGAGGTCTCCCCAGAGCCTTCCTTCTCTTCTCCAGGCTGAACAACTGCAACTCTCTCAGTTTGTCTTCACAGAGGAGGTGCTGCAGCCCTCTAATCATCTTGGTGGCCCTCCTCTGGACTCGTTACAACATGTCAATGTCCTTCTTGTGTTGGGGTCCCCAGAGCTGGATGCAGTACTCCAAGTGGGGTCTCAAGAGCAGAGTAGAGGGGGAAAATCACCTCACTCAACCTGCTGGTCATGCTTCTTTTGATGCAGCCCAGGATGTGGTTTGCTTTCTTTCTTCAATATGACACTGCAAGCGCATTGCTGAGTTATACTGAGCTTTTTGTCCATAAACACCTCCAAGTCCTTCTCCCCAGGGTTAGTCTTGATCCATTCTCCACTCAGCCTGTATTTGTGCTTGGGATTGCCCCAACGCAGGTGCAGGACTTTGGACTTCGCCTTGTTGAACTTCAAGAGATTCACAGAGGCCTACTTTTCAAGCCTGTCAAGGTCTCTCTGAAAGGCATCCTTTCCCTCCAGCCTGTCAACTGCACCACACAGCTTGGTGTCATTGGCAAACTTGCTGAGTGTGCACTCAATCCCACTTGTCCATGTCACAAAGATACTAAGAAGTGCCAGTTCCAATACCAACCCCTAAGGAACACCACTCATCACTGGTCTCCAAGTGGACATTGAGCTATTGACCACAACTCTGAGTGCAACAATCCAGTCAATTTTTTGTCCACTGATTAGTTCATCCCTCAAATCCATGTCTCTCCAGTTTAAAGACAGGGGTGCCATGCAGGACACTGTCAAATGCTTTGCACAAGTCCAGGTAGATGACATCTGTTGCCCTTCCCTCATCTACCACTGGTGTAACCCCATCGTAGAAGGTCACCAGATTTCTCGGGCATGATATGCCTTTAGTGAAGTCATGTTGGCTGTCACCAATCACCTCATTATTTTCCATGTGCCTTAGCATAGTTTCTAGGAGGATCTGCTCCATGATCTTGCTGGGCACTGAGGTGAGACTGACCAGGCCGTAGTTTCCCAGGTCTTCTTTATTTCCCTTTTTTTTTAAAATGGGGGTTATGTTTCCCCTTTCCCAGTCAGTGGGAACTTCACTGGACTGCCATGACTTCTTAGATATGGTGGATAGTGGCTTAGCCATATCCTCAGCCAGTTCCCGTGGATGTATCTCAGCAGGTCTAACAGACTTGTGCACCTTCAGATTCCTTAGATGTTCTCAAACCCATTCTTCTCCTACAGTAGGCAGTTCTTCATTATGCCAGTCCTTGCTTTCACCTTCTGCAACTTTGGCAATGTGGTTGGAGCACTTGCTGATGAAGACCGAGGCAAAAAAGTCATTGAATACCTCAGTCTTCTCCATGTCATGGGCAACCAGGTCTTCTGTGTCCTTCCTGAGAGGACCCACATTTTCCCTAGTCTTTCTTTCAGCACTGATGCACCTAACGGAGTTTTTTTGCTTATCCATTATGTTCTTGGCCAGATTTACTTCTGGTAGTGGTTTAGCTTTGGCTTTAGCTTTCCTAATCAGATCACTGGCTCTTGGGACAATTGCTCTGTATTCATCCTAGGTTACCTTTACCTGCTTCCATCCTCTATAAGTTACCTGTTTAAGTTTGTCCAGGAGCTCCTTGTTCATCCATGCAGGTCTCCTGGCGTTGTTCCTCGATTTCCTCTTTGTAGGGATATATTACTCTTGAGCCTGGAGGAGACAATCCTTGACTATCATCCAGCTCCCTTGGACTCCTCTTCCCTCCAGGGCTCCATCCCACAGCACTCTACCAAGGAGATCCTTGAAGAGACCAAAGTTTGCTCTTCTGAAGCCCAGGGTAGCGAGATTGCTTCTCACCCTTCTTGTTGCCCCAAGGATCTCAAACTCTACCCTGTCATGGTCACTGCAGTCCAGGACCAGGGCTTGGCAACACGAGGCTGCTCCTGTCTGTCTGTAGCAGGTTTCATCGGCTTGGTCTTCCTGCTCAGGTGCCCTGGGCATCTCTTGCTGGCTCGGACATCCAACTGGTATGAGTGGGATGACATGTTGTCCCACATCTCATCACTGTTAAATCTCTTCAGGTCTAATTTTTACACTTGAAGTTTAATAAATGCCCATAGTAAGAGATAACTGGACAGGATTTTTTCACTGTATTTTCAACAATGACTAATCTGTCAGTATGGTATGAAAGCCCATTAACTCTGACACTGAAAAGGCCTCAAGCAAATATTTCAAGCCTACAACTACTCCGTGGAACACTTTAGATATACTTTTAGTGCCAAACTATATTTTTTTTACTATATTCATTTCTAAGTAACAGTGGACACAAGAACTGTTACGGTCTTGCTAAAGCATGCACATATGCGATAATACACGTCAATAAAGTCCTGGGGATTGGTGGAGTAGTGGTAGTTTATGAGTGCTGTCACGTGAAAACAGGAGAGTTCCTCGACCCTTAACAATTTATTTGTCTGTCAGTGCCCCAGGAAAGCCGAGACCCTTGTGCCCAATCAATCTGTCAGCATCCTGTTATGGGGACCCTTCACCAAACAGTCCCACTGGATCAGAGCGTGATTCAACTGTCCTTTTCAGGGGTCTAAGCCAACAGCATAAGGAAGTCCCCTCAGTGAGTCTTCCCATTTTATTTGAATGTGTTACCCGCTGCTGGCACCTGCCAGCACCTGTGAAGGAGTTATTCAGCTTACAGAACAACACCTTTTATTAATACAAAATTGTGACAGGTTAAGGTTCAAAGATTGCCAGTCATAATATCTGACTGCAAAAATGTATTTAATGCAATACACGAGCAAGCTCTAATCCAAATAAAAGTATTCAGCACACGTATAGTTCTTACCCAAAGGCATCCCAATGGGGGAGAAGACAGGTTCAGCCCGTCGACTGATCTCAGCAGTCATGATGGAGTCTTCCCTGATTTTCTTCCCATTCTCAACTTACTTTTATACTATTTCTTTATGTTTAGGTGGAGCTTGAGTGACTTTAAAAGCTTTGCTTTTAAAGATACAGTAAAAAAAATATAGGGTACACATTCAGAGCAGGATAGTCGTACCTTGGAGGTGGATAAATTTGGGATAGAGGTGTGTATTAATATTATGATTATGCTTTAATGAAACAAGTTCATCCGAGGAGAGAGATTTCGCCACAAGGCTTGGCTCAGCAGCAGGACATCTCCTTTTATCTCTCTGGCTTGACAGGTGTTATGTGGTCCTATCAACTACAAAGTACCACCATGTTCCTCTCTCTGCAAGGATTTCCATGAAGGGAGGTCATGGCATCTCCACTCCGCTCAACGCTCCGTTCCAGCCCTCGTAGCAAGTACTTTTTGCTGTATGGAGAGTTATCATGGAGCATGTTCACCACATTCCATCCAGCAATTAGCAGCTCCATTTTACCATATAATTTCTGTACCATTGTAACTTCTTTTAAGATGTGAATATAACTTCTTAGTTTCCTCTAATTTTTACCCCCAGTGACTTTCCCACAACTGTTCTGTGCAACTTTTGCATTGTAGTTAGAAAATGCAGTTTACCCCATGGACATATTTAAAAGGTTGATGTGTGAGACCTGCACATCCTTAGATTATTGCTATTTTCTAAAATTGTAAAGAAGCCCCAAATAATTACATCATTTTCAAGTAACAGCTTACCTCAACATTCTGCAAAATTCCCCATTTAGGTTATATTAAACATCAGGTTTAATCAAAATTATCACGATAAACTGCAACATTTGGAATCTGTGGACAACCTTCTAGATACAATAATTCAATCTCCACCTGCAGGATTACATCACGGGTTCCTCAGTGCTTTGCAAATTTTGCCAAATGATCATGATCTTGTATTGCCTGCACCTTTTTTTTTTAATTGAAAGGTTCAAATTAGTTTGTCAAATTATAAATAAGCCTTCCATAATTCTAAAAAACACACTGAACACAAACTCCATTTGAAATGACAATTGCCATTCATATTATTGAGAGATTTGAGGTATTCCTGAAGAGAATAGGCACCAGTGAAGTTGTTGGATCCAGATGTACCGAACCACAGGAACATATTTAGTTAACACCCTATGGAAGAAAAAGGTACATTTCAGTACAACTATATTTTCTAAATCTCTAAATTGGCTTGGCTTCAAGATAGGTACACATTCATACTGTCTGAAATCCATCACTTCAATGTCACCACTTAGCAATCTCTTTGGAATTTGAAAGGCATGTAGCCAGCAGGTGTGCAGCAAACTGTCTCTTGTGTAGGGAAGGGAGCAAGTTTTACTTACTATAGAACTGGCCACAATGAAGGCAACCAGCAGAGAGAACTCATGACAGTGGTCTGAGTAGAGTGAAAAAACAAGCTCTCCTCCAAGTCAGAAATTTCAGCCTTTTTCCACACGCACAAAAGAAAGGGACTACCCATTTTAAAAATAAGACTTAGACAAGTATTTTAGAGTTCAAGACCTTCAGCATGTTATTTTGTCTCTTTGCTTAATCATTTAAAGACTTAATGTGAAAACCATGAGTCCTTATGAACTAATATGCCCACTTACTTCTGCTCCTCAGTGGTGAAAAACTGCGGCTTCGAAACGACTGCAACACAAAGAGAAAGGACACTCAGGTATGCTAAAAAACTGCACCCAAGAAAACTACCTGGGGGCCCATCAACATTCAGAAAACTTGCACATGTCTATCAGTGCAGCTCCACAGCTACAAAGTCAAGTTTGACAACTTTCTAGTTTTCTTCACACCCCACATACACACAAAAAAAGTGAGCCATACCCAAAGCCTCTCATATTTTCAATATTCATATTTTAAGTTGAGGGCACCCATGTCAATTTAATAAGATGGGCTAACAATTAGAAAAATATATGTGTTTTTTACAGAAATAATTAAAACTGTTGTATAACTATACCATACACAGAACTCTGCTAAGTTTTCACATATCTTATCAGTACCACCTCAGGTCTTCCCCTTTTACTCACTCTGCAGTTATTTCTGTTCCACTCTGGCATTGGAGAGTAAATTTAGGTTACTAATGCTGGGAGGCACAAATTATGTGTTGTATATGTACTGCAAGATGACTAAAACATTTCCAAATGATGCAATCAGTTATTCTGAAGGGTACTGAAGCAAGGGGGAGTAGGGGCAAATCATTCTAAGATGCTGTATGAGAAGTAGATCACAGTTAAATTCTCACAAGTATCAACTGTGTATCTCCACTGATCAACATCTATCAGTTCAGCTATCTGTCAGTTCAGCTTCACCTCATTCAAGACCTTCAAGCAAAGGCATTTATTCCCAATGTTAAAATGTACATGTGGCACATCAGCATTTTTAATAGGTTGCCTACATTCCTAGTTAAAATACTTGATGTTAATACTATAAGCATTCAGCTGAGGCTTACATGACTAGATAGGAGACGACGGGTGCTACAGCTGCAGCTTCTGCTTCTGATTTTACTTCTGCGAAAGCACTACAAGAGAAGAGTTTGACAAACTCCTTTTGAGAGAGAGGGTTTAATAAAGACAGACTCTGCAAGCAGACTTGCCATGCTGGAGACAAGGTTTGAGGACAGAGAGGAAACACAGTAAACTTTCTCCTTAGAACAGGCTCTGCCAATAATCATACATCTGCATAATTAATACATTAAGGAAAATGGAACTATTCATCCTAAATAAAGGATGAGGCACTAAAACCTAACTGATACTTGACATACAACTCCACCCACATGGGGAACAGTTAAGAACTTATCTTTTTAAATTTTAAAAACAGTGCTGAAATCCAGTGACTTCCCTTAACATAATCCTTAACAAAATACGTACCAGAGATACCCTTTTAGTGACTACCTCTCCCTTCACAATTACAACACCATCTTCCACCAGAGCAGGCCATACGTGATAGGCCACAAAGGCAGCTGTGAAATCTGAGTCAGGACTACGATAGTACCTGTTGAAACACAGAGTACAAGAAATGTCTGCATATAAGTGCCAAAAGATAAATATGTTTCAAATCATAAATGCTGATAAAAAGCAGAATACTAGCTATCTTTCTTGACAATTTTTCCATATGTCAAAAATAAGTATTCTTTAAGTGATCCTGTAAAGGAAATGCAGTTGTAAGATAGATTTATCAGGACCTACTGTTTACTTATACTGACAGGCACTCCAGTAAAGCCACCTCACACTTCACAAGACCAGCAGACCATATTTTTGCATAAGCCAAATACAAGCCAGGGTCCCTGTGTCCACTGACATACCAAATGTTCTGAGCAGCAATTTGGCAGGCATAGTCATCCCATCTTCCTGAAATATCTTGTTAAAACAAGACTCCTATAAAGGATATTATAGAAATACTCTATATCAACTATAAAGGTACATCTTAGTATCTTATGAGACATGAGGCAACTTTATTAGCAAGATCCTCAGATACTGATAATGAAACGGTGACATTTTAGCTAAGAAAAATTAATTCAAGGGCCTATGTTAACATACCAGATATATATTACCTCAATAAGTCTGGAATATTGGCTAAATAATGAAGTCTCTGGCTTTGTGGATTCAAGCTCAAAACAAATACAAAATAGCAGAAGTAAAAAATAGCAATGCATCTACACTTCAGCAATGTATTACAAAGCAAGTTATATTAAAACAATATTGTTAACATAGGCATGAAGCAAGACATAGAGTGTGATGAGGTTTGGGCAGCCCTTTATAGAATGGTATCACACATAACTAACAGAGATATTTTAATTTCTACAAGTTTTGCTCCATCTCTGTGTACCACATATACACACTATACATGTAAACATATATATGCCACATTTATCTATATAGATGGATAGATGAGAGTATGTGTCTCCTGCAGCAGCACATAAAAACATATTACACTTGTTTTTTGAAGGCCACACACAGCATGTAGGTGGAGAAAGCATCCCCAGACTATACCATTGCTTTGTTGCCTTCTTAATTCAGCCAATAGCTTTGGGTATCAAGAAGCTAACTGCCCAGTATTCGGACAGGATCATTGAGCAGTCCTGTATGACTTTGCACTTTCCTGTTGAAAGGCTACTTTCATCTTCTCTATTTCTTTCATTGGTTTCTCAAGCACTTCCCCACCTGTGTTCCATTCTATTTTAAATTATTATTAGAAACCTTTTTATTGATCTAGGGGATTTTTTTTTGCTTTTGAGAGCATTTTTTGTTTGAGTTATCAATCCTATTAATTTTCTAGAAGGCATGGAAGCATCCTATAGTTCTCTGGCAGCTAACAAAGACCTGACCCTATAGAAAAACCAATGTTATGGTGTGATTTTTTTTTAAAAACGAAATTCTCCTTCTTAAAAGTCATTCTTCTTTCTGCTCAGCTGTAAACCAGAAGAGATGGGAGCATATTAGCATTCATATGCTGTACAGCAGCCACAGCCTGGAGGTTGCAGCAAACACATTGATGATCTTGGTAGCAGGCACCAATTGCCAGATCTCAGTAAACATGACTTTTACACAATAGGCCAGAAAGGAGGAACAAAGATGCAAATATTTGTTAAAAGGCAGGTAGAGACTAAACAGGAAAAGGAAACCTGATAATAATTTTTCTCTTAAATGATAAATTAAATACGCTCTAGAGACTGAAGTTTATCCAGAAAATCGCTCTGCTGTTCATTAAAAAAAAAAACTGTTAACACTTGTCTACATCCTGGCATTTACACACTGTCAGAAAACCTTAAAGACATACCAAATTAACTATAGATCAGGGATATTTGCCCAAAATTCAGGATTAGCAATCTTAAACATTTATATTAATTAAGGAACAAGTAGACCATACAACCTGATGGATTCTTTTAATAATAAGAAACTAACTGAATTTTAAGAGTTCTTACTTGGTCTCATTGAAAAGTTCTCCATCAATACCAAAGGCAACATCAAGAGGAGGAATGAGTGTCTGCATTGAAAAAGCCAAACAGCACAACTCTTGAATCAAAGTGCTGAGCACAATGAAATCAATTTCTGGTGGAAATGAAATCTTTGGGTTGATGTTCATGGAGCGAATTACTTCCTGAAAATAAACATATTTGAGTAATTTTCACTCACTAACAATTTCATTCACAGGAAAGTATGGAAACCCATCCTAAATATGCCTCTCAGCTTTCTACATTTAAAAATCAGTATCAGAAGCTCACAGTAATTGCCTTAGACTATTTCAGAAAATAATAGCTTCAGAAAGAATGTACTGTTATTTCAGAAATTAAGTATGAGTTACATTATTGACATAAATCTTAGGAAGGAGATGCAGTTTTTCAACAGAAAACAAAATTCAAGAAAAATGTGAAATTTAGCTTACATTTATTTAAGAGTTACACTGTATCTTCAAAAATATTATTCTTGCAGACAGAGAAATTCCAGTCACAGAAAAATAGAACAAGCAATTACTAGCCCATACTTATACCACTCCTAGCAAGATTATTTTGGAAAGTACACTGCTACAAGGCAAAATCCATATGATAACTTTTTTCTTCTTCGGGTAACAGTGCATTTCTAGTTTACACATTCTGAATTTAACAGCTCCTGAAATAGATCAACATGTCGCTTCCCCACTGCCCTTGACCTACCTTGACACTGGCATGAACATCATACTCATCCTTGTGGCAAACTATATAATCCAGCACAGTGTCTTCAAGTGACTCAGGCCCCGAGTGACTTAGAGACAGAGCCTCTTTTACATGTATTTTGAACTTCCAGTAGGCCATCTTTGCTGCATAAAAAGATTCCTGCAAACATAAAGAACATCTAGTTAAATCCAGGAGACTGAAATTAATTTTTTATCAGTTATCTGAGAAAATGAACTTAACCCAGTATCACCATCATAAGGAGGAATAAAAAACACTGCTATAAAAGGGAAAGTTAACTCATCTGGAAGGAATTCTCTGATTGAGTGTAACTTCTTTGCAGAAGACAGGATTGAAAAGATTCTCATCTAACCATCTATATTTGCATAGGATTCCATCACACACCCATGATCAATACAACCACATTCAAAGATATCAAGAGTAATAGCATTTTACAAGCCACAGCCCAACACAGACAGGAACTCTTCTTGTTTGTCAGGAAAAAAGGTTGAATTAGAGAGTGTAAACTGAATGACAGTTGGAAAAAACCTCCAATAAGTTAAATGTGCTTGTGATCACACACATTAAGAGACACACTGTCTGTCTGACTCAGGTATGTACTACATCATTTTTATAGAAAAGAAGATCAAGTACAGAAAAGATGAAAACAAATTTCTTCAGACTGAGCTCATAGTAAATATGACGTATGTAGGTAGTTTCAAGGGACCCAACAAAACTAGAAAAGCACACAGCTACAGGCAAAAAGAAAGCATGCTATGGAAAAATTTTTATCTTTGTACTGTTGTAGTATATAATGTAGTATTCCCAAAAGAATTCATCTAAATAAAGCAGTGTTGATCAGTGCAGGAATCAGCTTCTTTTCAGAGCCATTCAGTCTTCTTATACACTCCTTTTAGCATCCATACTACAGATCACTGACCCTGTTCCAGTGTTGGGACAGGTCAGTCAGGACACTAACTTGGGAGTTCAATATAGAAGTGTGAGGGGAAGAAAGAAAAATCAACAAGAAAAAAGGACGAAAAGTTTTCTTCTCTGTACTTCAATGTACTAGAAATGCTAATTTACCCACAATTTAGTCCAGTGCAGACATAATATTTTATAAAACACTTCAGGCCTGTAAAATAAGAAATATTATTTCTTTCTTACCACAGCTGCAGTGTATATTATCCTCTGCACCATCTCCACGTCACTGATGTAAGTCCTCAAAAGGGTCTCTGCATCGAAGCGTTCCTGAGCATAAATGAAACCGAAGCGAGCCACCAGGCAGGCGCGCCGGGAAGCGTTGATGTGCCTGGTTCGGCCGGGTGACCAGCTCTTGGGGCGAAGGGAACGCTCTGACTTGGCCCCGCTGCGCCTGTAAGGAGAGCGGCTCCGTGCCAGCCTACAACAGACATGTAAAGAAGCTTGAGGTCAATTCACCGTCTTCAGATGTTTTTCCCTAGCATAGAGTTTTGAGTCAATTTAATTTTTATCAAATTGAGCTAAGATTTTGAGCCAATGCAATTAGAGAAGCTGCAGCTGTTTAGTCTAATATGAAGGCATTTGTGTCAATATATTTTAAGGGCTAAAGCATAAACAGTAAAAATAAAGTATTTCCTAAAGTGTGTACAGACAAGCACTTTGTTCTGGGGAAACACACTTCTAACAACTAATAATTTCGAGATTTGTTCCTCTTTCCTCACTTTGACTGAAGTCAAACAAGTGAGAATATAACAAGTTCTGCCCTGTAATGGTACAGTGTTCAGAGGACTCATAAAAAAACCCCTAACTATTTCTTTTTATTCCATACAGTTGCTGTCAATGTATTTTTCAAAGTTGCACTATTTGCTGTTTTGTCTAAAACTTAACTGCTTTAAAATATTTGGGCAGTAGGAGAAATCAGCCAGAGTTTATGTTCCCTCATAACAAAGTGCAAAAGCTCAACTTTTGTTTATTCTTCAGTTTCAAACGAGGAGGGAATTCATGCTACCTAACATGAACAATTTCTATAATTCAGTGACTTCTCTAATAATGCCTCTACCTGCTCTGAAGAACAGACTTTTGGGCATCCAGGATAGTAATCTCATCCCGCAGCGTTTGAATTTGCTGCTCATAGTCATCCAGACGCTCTAACTTCTTCAGGGCATCCTCCTCTTCAGCACGGGAAGTGTTCAGACTTAATCACACAGAATAAAGTCAGTCACAAGATGCCCTTCTATGAATGTAAACCATCTATCAATTAATCCTCATCATCAAAAAAAAAGGAGCAGAAAAAGAGGAACATTTTTGAGCAAACTCCTTATGCTGAAATACAGGAAAAATCAAGAATTCAAAAAAGCATACTCCAAAGCAGACTCTTAAAAATGTAAAAGTGTACTGTAGCAGGAGAGTGGATACACTACACTGTTACAGGAGAAATCACTGGTTAACATTTGATGTCCTTATGCTAGCTCAGATGATGAGGTCTAAAAGAGACTGTTTTCTTTCTCATATTTAAAATTTTAATTAAACCAGCTCAGTTTTCCTTCCAAAGGAAGATTAAGAACCTAAGTATTTTCTCCATGGGGTACTAGGGCTCTTTCCTTTGCTGGAATATAGTAGTCAGTCAAAGGGTATCACCAATGAAGTTATTCAAGTAATATCAAAAGCTAATGATTCCTCTCCTGCTGCCCCCAAGAGAAGCACTGTTTCTTAAACATCAGCAGACAACCAGTTAAGCAAGTTTATCTTCTGTCCTTTACTCTTACTTAGTAGTAAAAAGTATCTCAATGTCTCTGCTTTCTCTCCCAACCCAGGTATTACTGTTGTTTCCTCTTTCCAAAAGTGTAGGGAGGAAAAGGATGCTTTCTATTTACTTTGAAGGTATTCAGTCTGTCCTTTTCTTTGCCAAAGGATCCTGGTGAGATTTTTGAGGAGCTGAACCAATGAAAGCTGTAACACTTATCAGTCAACAAGCTTCCTCTTCCAGCTTTTTAAGGAGCAGGTAGACTGAGAGGACCACAGTAATAAGACGAGCAACATCTGCTAAGAGGAAAGACTGTCCAGTCCCATGGACACCCTTAGTCAGCTCCTTCAGGAAGGACTTCTAGCTGAGTACTAGTAAAAGAGGGCTAAAGAATTCTACTATAAAGAACAATTCAGACAGAAAAGTAGATTTTGAAAGAAGAGTTCTAAAGGTAGGTATGGGGAAAATTCAAACTGATAGTCTTGGAAACATTTCATAAGGACATGAAATTACATCACCTATTGTACTGATCCAAGACCTGTGAACATTTATTGTTCTCATGCTAATAGGATGCACAAGAAGCCACTTGGAGCTATCTCTAAAATGGCCCTGGAACTGGCATTAACTGCACAAATTTGTATCTGAAGCAATTTAGTAATTTTGAGACTATAGTGCTCCACAAAATACATTTTATGCAATCAGGCAAAAACTGTTCAGTCCTAGTCACTTAGCAAAACCTACCAAGTCAATTTATAAATATGTGTATGACTGTAGCATTTGTAGCCCACTTTGGATACCTATAAACACAATATACAGCCTAGATACATTTTGAAGCTCTGATTGTAAGCCAGACATGAAACATTTTACAAATCTCCATCAGTATTTAGATGTCAAGAGAAAAATGTGGCTTGTTGAAAAACAAAAAGCAAATAAAAGAAACACAGTTAATTTCCCTACTCTTGTTCCATCTGGTTGATCTGCAGACGAGTTGAAGACAGTTTTTCCTCCAGGTCTTGCAGTGGACAAGTCTCAGGTGTGGTGTCCAGTTCCCTCAGCTGCATCTCACTCCCAACTGAATCCTACCAGGAAACACGAAGTCACACTGTTTGAATGTACTACCTTACAGAATCCCTCAGCAATATACTAGAGAATTATTAGCAGATGTATTTCTAAAGATTTCAGTAATGACCATTTCTAAAGAAACTGAGAAGAAAAGCAATCGCATACCATCTAGAGACATAAGCAATCCCTTCCAGGTACACCAAACAGAGACTCAATTATGTTAAGAAAAATATTCACTTCTTTTTTACCTCATGATAGAACTTATGGAAGGTCTGCATATGCAGATTTACTGCTTGTATACACATCATCAGAACAAAGCATTTTGCAGATGTGTTGCACAGTTAGTCAACTTCTGATTGGCTATATCACCAACTCAAGTAAACTTTTTGGTAATTCATGTACACAAAGGAACAGAAAAAGTTATTAGAGAAGGCAAGTATTGTCACTCCAGAAAGCACACTACTACACATGCAGTTCTGTCTTTAACAACCTATAAAGTTGCCTGATACTATTGGAATTAAATAAGTAATTGTGTAGCAGGCTCTTCTTTAAATTTTGAATGTCACATGCAATGACAAACCTGTAACTGGCACACCTGGTGTACTGTCATTTAATAACATCATTATTTTATATTTTGTGGGGTTTGGGCAGAATCCTGCTCCTGCATTATACAAGAATCTGACTCTTATGGGATATCACTTTTCATTTGTCCTCATTTTAACTGTGAAATATTTTGACAGAGGAGGTATAAAAAATGAGAAATTAGAAAACATGGAGACATCACTGTCAAACCTCAGGATTCTGAGTATTTTCCCACAGTCTACATTGGCCAATGTTCCTATTTTCTTTCAAAGCAGAAAACCACAACAGATCTATCTTTTCTGCCAAACTGTTAGTACTACAATCCTTTCAGTAAATATCAAATACATACTAACTCCAAATATCCCAGCAGGAATGTGGTGGTATCATGAAGGACATGAGCGCTTTTTATTTAACCCTTCTGGAAATAATGTTAAGATAGTCCAAGACTTTCTCCTTCAAAAAAAAATAAAGAGAGTTCACAGACTAATGTATGCACACCTTCAGCTTACATGTGTATTTTCACACAGTGTTAGGTTTTTCTAATACAGATATGGCCTAAATATTTCTGTGATGTCTCTGCATATGTAAACATAGCAAATCTTTACTGAGGAAAGGAAAGCAGTACAATAACACAGACTTTTTTTACAATGCAAATTCCTATATAATAGCATGCATGTCTCCAAAGATGTCTCCATGAGCAACTAAGAATGTATTACACTAAGCAAAATCTGCTAGGGAGGTTATTATTAACAGAAGTCATTAAAGTTCTTCTGCAGGTATAAATTCACATGGTAATATACATACCTGAGTGATGGAGAAGTTGTTCTCAAAGCTCTTTCCTGAAGTAGCACAGTTAAAACAAGTCCCTAGCTGTGGCAAGAGACGTTTTTTTATTGTTTCTGCACCTTCATTATTACCATCTAAGAAAATACATACATTAAGAAATTGTGAGAACACTTACAGAAAGAGCCAGAGTTTGAAAAAATGTCACATGTGAAAAGTGTTAGTAATTAAACAAGGCACTGATTTACCTTCTCGAGATGTTTCATTGAGAATTGTGAAGAGCTGTTTTTGAATCGCAGTGTTCAGTTCTAACATTTCACAGCATCGGTTCAGATTCTCACCAGAGGAATTAATCTGTAAAGTAATGTGTATTACTATATCTGTGGGGGTTTTCTTACTTCAAGTTATTCCTGTTACGATCATGACATTTTTTCCCCTATAATTGCATCTTCACAACCTTTTCTTACTACATCCTCTAGAATACTCATCTGTTTTAAGGTTCACATTGTTAACAAGCAAACAAACAACATCAAACTTCTATCACTATCAGGACTTCTATCACCCAGTTAATTCACTACCTGAGAAAACTTCTTTATGAATGGGGAAGGAAGCAAGTTGCAATCGCAAATGCCTCTAAAAGAAGAATCATTATAATTGTCAATCTGAGTTGAAACCGTTCAACAGTTATTAAAATAACAATATAGTAGATTGTTGGATGAAAAATAAAACATATTAGTCCAAAATCTGGTTTTCCATATTAGCTAAAATAATACATATAAGGCTATTATCTTGCTTTGTCAGCAGTCACATGAGGCTTCCAGGCAATTTCATCTGATTTTTAAGAGTTACGAACTGAAAAACCACTGAAGTAGGGACAAAATCCAGCACTATGTCTAGGAAACAGCAAAATGACACCACTTTCGGGAAATGCAATTTTGAAAAGGACTAGGATACTACTGCACCTGCCAGGAGAGCACATACTTTGTACCTGCTTCCTTAACCTTTATCTGTAACCTGCATAGCACCTTCCACACAGATCACCCTGTAGGTTTTCAGGCTCTAATGACTCCATATGGGTTTTACAAGCTTCCAAAACAGCTGAAATTCTCACTCATGCCTCTGTCAGCTTGCATTTTGATTGCTGCAACATGCTTTCCTCTGGCCTTGGGGAGCACAGTCAACCTGCTCATCTCCACCAGAACGTGGCTGCAAAGTGCATTTTTCCAGTTCATTACAGTCACATAACACCCGTGGTGCTTCCATCTGCCACCTCCTCTTTTTCTGCACCAGCAGCCTGAAGCTGTTCATGTTCATTGCCCAAGACCTCAGACACTACCCGCAACTCACTTAACACAGAGAATTCAGCTCCCACTAGTCCTCAGCCCTCCCAAGGTCTACCTGCACCACCCATTTGCAAGATTGTAAAACGCATGCCACTGCTCTTCCTGCTCTGGCATTCTCTGTGGTAGCTTTATCAGCTACTCTCAAAATACTTAAAACTCTTCTTTGCCACGAATCCCGCAGAGGGTTACACTGGCTATTAACATCCTGTAACTCCTACCTACCACAAAGTAAAAAGAATATTTGATTTCCCTTGAAAAGGCTACATCTCTGCTCAGCACCTTTTCTTACCAACCATAGTACCCAGTAGGTGGTTAAAGGCTCGTGACCAAATCAACTATCTGTCTCCTGAAGCTAATGAAACCTAGGGTTGCACGAGTGAGAACTCTGACAAGATTTTTTCCACTGAGAAAAGTCACAGTTGTGAAGTCTGGGGGTCCTTCAACTCACCTTTCCCTAAGTTTACATCTTCTCTACTGCTTCTACTGTTGCACCTCCTCAGTCCCCTGTTACCGCTGACTCCTCCGTGGAGGAGCCACCTACAGCCTTCTCCTCACCCACACCCGAAACTCTTCCCTCACGCCCACTTCCCCCCTTCAGAAGCCCTTTGGCAGCCGTGCTGTCTTGCAGCAGCCTCTCAGCTCTAATAGGTTTCCCATCCAGAACAGCCGGATGCCGGATAACCCGTTCTCACTTTCAGCACCCTTTTTCCTCACGTCCTCCTGACTGTTCCCAGGCTACGAGCGATTCCTTTCGCACACACCCTGACCCGCGGTCCTTCCTCCTGCCGGTCTGCACCACGACGCTCAGCTATGCTCCGACACAGCCAGTGCCGCTCAAACCTTGCTTTTAACCTCCAGCTCTTGCTTTCACGGAACCTTGTCACGGGCAAAAAGCCAAACAGCTGAAGCTGGAAGTGCTTAAGAAGTGTTGGAACCGTGGTAACCAGGAGCGCGTGCGGGGCAGCGCTCCCAAACCGGCCCCTCGGCCACCGAGCGTCCGGCGCGGCTCCCCGCTCCGCGTCCCGCCGTCATCGCAGAACCCGGCCCCAGGAGCGGCAGACCCACCTTCAAACGTCCTGCTGCCAGCCTCTCCAGCTTCTCCTGCAGCGCCCCGGCGCTCCCCGTGGCCCACCAGATTCCTTAAGTCCTCGGCCATGGGCCGGCGGTTCAGCTCGCTCCTGGAGGTGGGCGGGATGCTGCTGCGCTGATTTTTCTGTCCTCCGGGAGACGCTCCTCGGGCGGGCGGGTGGAACGAAGATGTTACAGCCGGCCCGACCTCTGCCCTGGGCTGGGCCGCGGTGGTGACTCGCGAAGAAAGGGGACGGCCCGTGCGCGGCGGCGGGTGCCACGGCAACGCTGCGGTAGCGCAGGGGGGCGGCGGCCGCCCGTGGAGCGGGGCCGGCCCGCGGCCGCCGGGCGGCGCCGCCGGGTAACGCTCTGAGGGCGCGGCTCTGGACCCGCCCGCTCGCCGGCAACCAGGGGCGCCGCGGGCCTCTCTGCAGCATGGCGCGCAGCAGCGGGGGAGATGGCGGCGGGCCGCCCCCGAGCAAGGGTCCGTCCGCGCCGGGACACGCCCGGGGAGGCGGCGGCGCCGCTCCCGGCGTGAGCAGGGGGAGCGGGACGCGGGTGACGGCCGGTCCGGCCCGGAGGGTGCCTGCTTAGCGCACGGGGCCTCTGGCGAGGGCGCCAATTTTCGCGGTCATAGGTCGCGCCGTGTGTTGAGCTGGCTGCGGTTGCCGGAGCCCGCCAGCCCCGCCGCCCTGCCCGGGCCGGGGAGGTTCAGTGGCGCTTGGGGGGCGCTCCCGCCCCGTGCCCGGGGCTTTGCGGGGCAGGACGGGCTCGGCCATGCGGGGCCCGGAGCGGTGCCGTCCTGGCCGCAGGCGCGGGTCTGTGACAAACAAAAATACTTTCTGCCTTGGGAATAAAGCGGGTGGCATTTCTGCACTGCAGGAATGGCGCTGCCTTGCGTGAAGGAGGCGCTTGGCACTAAGGAGCGGGGCGGGAGGCGGCGGTGGGTGCGTACGCGGCCGCACGGCTTGTGCTGGGTCGGAGTGGTTCCGAACATCGCCGAGGCACCTCTCCATAAACTTGTCTAGGTCAAGCACCTTTCTCAGCACCATTTCTTTGTGCTTCGGCAACAGAAGAAAACAAGATATTTTTACCCGTTACATCGATATAGACACGAGCAAGCGCAGTAAGCTTAGGGATTCATTTCAGGTGAACAAAATAACATCAGAAATATCAAGTCCTTTCTGTGAAGATTTGAATCCTTAAATAGCAATCTGTTCAGTTCAAGGGAGATGGAACAAAATTTTGGACAGCTAGAAAAAAACATCAAGAGTTTATTTTCTCTAGGAATACCTACCAGAGTTTTCTCTAATAATTTGTTACATTGACAGGATATCCTTTGCAAACTAGTAACTTAAGATTATTAAATTTAATTAGGCAGGCCAAGTTTCCCATGACAAGTTCGAAGCCTCACAGTATTTTTCTCAGTGCAAGCAATGTAAGTTCAATACAAACCCTATGCTATCAAACTAACTTAAAAACTGTATTCACCACACACCTTTTGAATAGACTAATTGAGAGTCTGGCATATGTGAGCATATATTGGCAAATGACCTGCAGGATTATCTCCTCTGTCTTCCCTGAGAGGTAAAAACTTGATGGAGTTCTTTTACAGCTGCTTTGGGGTTTTTTACTGCAGCAGTGTCATTAATAATTTCTATCTGCCATAATAAAATTGAGATATAAAACCATATATTGTCTGAAAATACCTGGATTTTAAACTTAGTCATTGTGTTAGCAGAGATTGCTGTGGTTCTAAGCATGTATGCTAAGTACAGAGTGGCAGACTGAAATCTAACATTGAATGTAACATCTACTATGTTACACTAGTCAATTCAGATTTATATTTTTGGCATACATATACATGTGTCATTTTGGTGAATTGACCTGCCTTTTAAAACTAATCCATGCTTTGTTTTACAGCAAAGTTCTAATGGCCCGGTGAAGAAGTCTATGCGAGAGAAGGCTGTGGAACGCAGGAATGTTAATAAGGAGCACAACAGTAACTTCAAAGCAGGATACATTCCAATTGATGAAGACCGTCTCCATAAGACAGGGTTACGTGGCAGGAAAGGCAACTTGGCCATATGTGTGATTGTTGTTCTTTTTATTTTGGCCGTCATCAATCTGATTGTGAGTATAATACTTACACTGTAAGCAACATTAGGTCATATTTCATTGTGATGGTTTATTAGAGAAATAAAACTTTTCTAGTATGGCTGAGGGCTTAAAATGTACTGAAGGAGATTCTCATTTTTCTCATTCCTTTCTTGTTCTTTTGTAGCCTGAACAAGATTAGATGGAAGAATCTTGTAAATTCAGCCATGTAAATTCAGTTACCAAGATCTCAGCAAGGAACTTACTGTTTATGCAAGAAAGAATTAGAAACCTCCAAAGTGTCACTCCATGCAAAGTATTATTAGTACAAATGCATTCAGGATATATGTCAGGAACATTTTACATAACAGAGCTGCAGTGAGCATTCAGAAGTAACCAGCAACTGCAATCTAAAGCTTCATTGTTGTAATTACCACCTCCTTATTGCTTGGTCAAGGAGAAGTAATTAATTGTTTTTTGTAACTGCATGACCACCTGGGAGGGTGCATTCTTCTAGTTCAGGATTAAGTATGTACTGAGCTGAGCTGTTCAGGAAATTTGCTTAGCCAATACTACCATGATTACCATTAAACAGAAAAAAAGATATAATTCTGGATTTAATATTTTCATATATATATAAAAATCATTTTAGTTACTGTTCCAGATAAGTCTAAAATTAATGTAAAATGCTTTTCATAATTAAATGTGTTATGATGGAATTAAACAGGCTAAAGTAAATTCACACCTAAAGCTCACTTCAACACTAGCATTAATAATTGTTTCAAATAAAACACATAGTTAATACCATACTTCTTGTGGGAAGATACAAACAATCAACTTAATCTTTTAAAATATGTTTCTCTTTCAGATTACCCTGGTTATCTGGGCAGTAATTCGAATTGGTCCCAATGGTTGTGACAGTATGGAATTCCATGAGAGTGGCTTGTTGCGGTTTAAGCAAGTGTCTGACATGGGTGTTATACATCCCTTATATAAAAGCACTGTAGGAGGGAGACGGAATGAAGACTTGGTGATCACTGGGAATAATCAGCCTGTAAGTTTTACCATGAATTGAAAGTCTATGAGCAACACTAGGGAATTACACTTACCTCACTAATAAATGTTATATTTGAAACTTTATTAACCTAGTGACTTTTTTTCTGAAGATTGTATTTCAGCAAGGAACAACCAAGCTTAGTGTGGAAAAAGACAAAACTTCTATAACCAGTGATATTGGCATGGAATTTGTTGACCCACGGACACAAAATACCTTGTTCAGCACAGACTATGAAACTCATGAGTTTCATCTGCCAAATGGAGTTAAAATCTTGAATGTACAAAAGGCCTCTACAGAGAGGGTATGTCTCTCTTAACTTGCTTTTTATAATTAATGAGAATACAGTGCATACTTCGTTTGTATAACAGGAGAGTAGCACTAGTTATTTTTAGAGGGTTAAGTGTGCCTTAGGAAGCATTGAGCAGCCCTGTTCCAGAAAAAAATAAACCCAAACCTATAAATACATAGAAGGAACAGATTAAGTGAAAACAGAGGGATAAGTTTACATAATCAGTCCTAAAAGGAAGCATGTATTTGCTACAAGTGTTAGCCATGTATGCCATGAAATTGTCATATGAATTGTTATTTTTACCACAAAAATAAACTATTTTACATGCCTTACAAAATTAAGTAATTCTGGTTTTAAATGTGAATGTGGAAAATAATAAATAGGCAGAAGGTCTGCAGGCATAATAGCAGAAGGGCAAGAAGTACCTTGACATTTTTTATTAAATTGTGTAGCAATACTTTTAAGGTAATTAAGCTACTCAGACAAATAGAGGTGACACATTTTCATTGTTCTGTAATACACTTTTTTTGTGTGTTATATTCTTAGATTACCAGCAATGCAACCAGTGATCTGAACATAAAGGTGGATGGCCGTGCTATTGTCCGTGGAAATGAAGGTGTTTTCATTACAGGCAAGACCATTGAGTTTCGAATGGGTGGTAACATGGAACTTAAAGCAGTAAGTATTTCAAATCAGCATTTTTTGAATAGTTTAGTTTCAAATTCAGGCTGATAGTAAACTGATGTAGCTTTATATGATTTCAGATTTTATATTAAGTAGTTATGCATAAAAGTTTAGTCAGTATACCTGGCAGGATTTAAATAGGTGCCTTATTACTTTGCTGTTAAGTAGTGGTTCAGTAGTTTTCAGGTAACAGTGATTTTCTACTGTTAAGACACAAAAAACCCATAATACAATTAAAGCCAAGCTATTGGCCTCTGCCCTGGAAAAAATACCAAAGGGAATTAATTTTCTCTTCTGGAAGCTTTTCGGGGGTCAGTAACCTTTGCCAGTTAGAAGCACTACCCTCTGTGCTGCCACAGTAAGACTCATTAGCATTCCTTTAAGATTTTTTGAGACTGCAGGGCGTATGGAATTATGAAAAAGGTTAAAGGAGGATAAAAACCAGAGGTATAGGCACTTTCATTTCAAGTGCAAACGAATTTCCTACATGAATTCAAACACTGATTACCATTTCACATCCATATTTTTAGATTTACTACATTTGCTAATAGGTCTGTAAAGTGAAAAGCCACACTTCTGCTGTCTCAGTAATGATCTACCACTGGAACAGCAAAGTACATTGCTTTGCATAGTTGAGAAATATGTGAGAAAAGCACAGTTGCTTTGCATAGTTGAGAAATCCATGAGCATTATTATAATTTCCATTAAAAAATTAAACCTTTTCATACATACCTATTTTACTATGTTGGTTCTGCAGCTGTCCTAAAGATGTCATTTATTTGTTAAACCAGCTTGTCCTTCTCAAAAATAACCTGCCTTGTTTGAATTAGAAATTGT